TGCTAACGTTAGCAGCGAAGACATTAGCGAAAATGTTAGCGTCTTAGCTGCTAACGTTCGAAACAGAGACGTTACGTTAGCGTCCTAGATGCTAACGTTAGCAGCGAAGACATTAGCGAAAACGTTAGCGTCTTAGCTGCTAACGTTCGAAACAGAGACGTTACGTTAGCGTCTTAGCTGCTAACATTAGCAGCGAAGACGTTAGCGAAAACGTTAGCGTCTTAGCTGCTAACGTTCGAAACAAAGACGTTACGTTAGCGTCTTAGCTGCTAACGTTAGCAGCAAAGACGTTAGCTGCTAACGTTAGCAGACGACGGTAGAGGACCTGCATCGGCACTTGTGGTTAAATATTTGCTTGAATACAGGACAGTTAGCCAGGGAGTGTCACAAAGACTTGTTTCTTCAGTTTCATTCAGTGTGTTGTTTATACTTGAATAAAAGCTTGAATACATGCATACAGTTTGTGTTACTGTATGAAAATTAGGAGTGAAATTGATGCTCGGGCGCAAACTACAATCTTGCCTAGGGCACCAAATTGGTCAGGGCCGGCCCTGCACTGAGCCATGGTATGGGTCCGCCTACGTCAAAGCTGACCTCATGTCCGGGCCTCCTTGGGGACTGTGCCACCCCTCTAGTCTGCCCTGAAGCACCGGCCCTGGCTGACATACATGAAAAACAAATACAGATCACGACTCCTTTGGTGATCTCCGCAAAGCCGTGTCGAGCATAAAGCCAAGAATGCAGCTGCTCTGTTCATACAAGCAGGCCCAGCCATCACATTAAATAGCTGTAGTAATTATTTTTCCATGTGGGGGCAGACAGCAGTGCATGTTAAGAGTGGGGGTCGCGACTGAAAAAGGTTGAGAACCACTGCACCAGGGTAACTTACCTTCAGCCTAAACTCAGCCCCATCCAGAAAAAAATATTTCAACTCAAACCATCAAGGCCTCCAGAGTCTTTCTGTTGCCCGTAGTTACTCCTGCTAAATGGGAGTTGTTTTTTTTCCCCTTTCCCCACTTTTGTCGGGTGCTTGCTCAAAGGAAAGCTGTGGGGTTTTTCCTCATAACTCTGTAATATGTTGACCTTGCCCTGACATGGTGTATGCTTTGATTTGGTGCTATGTGAATACAATTAAAAAGAAAATGTACAAATATAATCAGATTTGGGCAGTTAATGACATTAATAATTCTGTTGTTTAAAAAAAAATAAAATAAAAAAGTATTGTTCTAAAATGGGCATTTCCTCCTAATGATTATATTACAGTTAATAATGAATCTGTTAATTAATTAGCCTACACCTGTACTTACAATTTTCAGGATTTTATCTTCATGGTGTTGCTCTGCCTAAATTGAAGTTATCAGTATTTCTTCCACTGCTCACGACTAAATTAAAAACATCCTCTGATTCGGTATCTGTATTGTGAGTAATGACAGAACCACATGCTGCTCAAAGCGTTTTCTTTAATCGTGATCCGTACACACAGCGGTTTTAAGCATCATTATTAGATATCAATACATGATTAGCCAGCTGTTACTTTGGCATTTGAAATAGCCGCTATCAAGAAAAAAAAGAAGGTCCAGCTTCTCCGATGTGAGAAGTTGGTGTCTCTGCGATGACGATAAATATCGGAAGAATTCTGACGACCAGGTGGATTTTTATTATTTTTTTTCTATCATGTCAGACAAGACGATGGCAAAGCAAAGCGTAGCAAGCTGGGTCCGATGGGCACGCCGTGGAGATGATCACGATCAGGCACTGTTGTCTGTTGTTGGCCTTTTCTTAGCCCTGTTTCAAAAAAATAAAAAATAGAGAAACATGTGAAGATATATTTAATAAACATACTTTATCTGTCTCACTGCTAGGGAATTTTTTAATTTTAGAATATTTGAAACTACTATATATTTTTTAAAGAGATTAAAGTGTAAAAACCAATGATTTTGTTTTAAAATTTTTTATTTTTTTTTACTATGGAAAGGATAATAAATGACTGGGTCATAAAAGTACCTGTTGCACTTCCAGCACTGAAAACAACAAAGAATAAAAATAGATTTAAACAGTAAAATCTAATTTACTTTATACAGAACACGCAATCATTTCAGTGGCTTTGATTACATTTTTTGTGGAAAGCCCTAAAATACAGTCACTGACACAACTTAGTTCCTTTTTCTCAGCTGAATGTGTTGAAAGTTGTGCGGTCATTCTGAGTCACACTTACACAGAAGATCATGAAGGTCACCAACACTCCAGCTGTTAACAAAGAGAGAAATGCACACTGCTGTCATGTGGAGTCAAGCTAGAGGATTCAGGCTACTGGCCAACGACATTTTTAAGACTCATAAGTATTTAATTGACCTTCAGTCGTACATACCAACAGCAATCAGCCCCAGACGTTCACGGCAAGGACCTAAAAAGAAGGAAAATGGTTAGAAGAATAAAACCACCTGATTATTTATTCATATTTAATGCACTGTTTATTTGCAATGTTGGTGCAAACTGTCTAAGCACAACTAAAGTTTGCATTATTGTATGTGTATTTCTACATTTACTAGAACATAATGCTGCCGCTGTGTTTTTCTACTTATGCAAAAAAGAAAAAAAAATCTGTGCTGTATACAAATTAATCTGCATAATATGAATACTGTGAGTCAATATTTCCAGTCTTGAAAGGATCTGTGCAGTACCACTGGCAGGCGCAATACTGTAGTTTCTATAATTAGTGTTTATGTTAATTGTTTGCACTATTTTTGCTGCTGTAATCCCCACATTTCTTATCTCATCTCAACTAAGAGCAAACCCTTCCTATAATCACCGCTGTGTAAAACACTAGAAGTTGTCCTTGAAACCAAAGCCATACTGACGATTCATTTAGGGCAGGGGTGTCCAATCCTGGTCCTTGAGAGCCCCTATCCTGCACGTTTTAGATCAGGCGTGTCCAATCCTGGTCCTCAAGGGCCATAGTACTGCATGTTTTAGATCAGGGGTGCCCAATCCTGGTCCTCAAGGGCCATAATACTGCATGTTTTAGACGTTTCCCTCTTCCAACACACCTGATTCACATGATCAGCTCATCATCAAGCTCTGCAGAAGCCTGATAACGATCCTGATCATGTGAATCAGGTGTGTTGGACGAGGGAAACATCTAAAACATGCAGGATTGTGGCTCTCGAGGACCAGGATTGGGCACCCCTGCTTTAGAGAAAGATACTGCATGTGTATATGAAGATACGATACTGTTCAGTTAAAATAGTGCTGCGAATTGTTTTTAATTTAGCACACAATAAAATGTGTTTAAAGGAAAGGGATTCCTTTGGATGCACAGCATTCATGATGAACACATTCGGGGCCCGACCGATTTATAGCCCTTTTCAAAATACTCATCGGCTGGAGTTTTGCCGATATATTCTTAATTTCTAATAAAACAGTAAATGCTGTTAAGTGTCACAGTCGCTTTCGTACATTCATTTTGTACAATTTGATTTAGGAAAAAGACAAGTATGCTCCAAGGCAAAAGCGTGTGAAAAAAACCACTTCAGCAAAACCACAAAAGCTCCGTTTTTGCTGCTGCTTGTTGTAAACAAGTTAAACTTTGCTCACGGAGATGAAGAGCTGAGATAGCTTATGACTGTACAGCGGTGACATCACTCACTCTGACACAAAGTCTGAAACCAAAAACCCCCATAGAGCCTCACTCTGCGGGTTTTACATCCAGTACAACTGGTGGCTATATTTCCACAGAAAGAAAAATGCAAGTTTAAAATAAAATACCCCACATTGCAGACATATCTGTTCGGAAAACTTTTTGTTTGTTTTTACTGATGCATGTTATGTTTAATGCTTTGTTGCATGTTTTTCTTCTTGAAATTCCTCTCTGTTGTAAAGTTAGACAAACACTAAAGGACAAAGTGTAATGGGCATGGGCAAGAAGCTATTTTATTCACTATATGTTTTTAATATTAATCGGTTAGCGGATTATTTTTTTTCTCCAAATATCAGAATCGGCATCGGCCTCAAAAAATCCATATCGGTCGGGCCCTGAAACACACCACACTGTCTTCTGACCAACTGTGTAAATGCACTCACGGAGCTGTTTGTGCCTTTGTGATCATTTTTGCATCTCTTTCATATCTTCTTTTACTTGTTTTATTGTGGGTGTTTTTTTCTGATTTTACATATTACAATTCTTTGGGATAAGACCTGTTCAGTAATCTGTCCACGGTCATCATTCAAAGTGTGAGAAATTATGTTGTTTTATGCATCAGGGGTTGAACCATTGAAGACCAGATGCACTTATCGATGAGCCTGCAAAACTTCAGGATTCAAATTATGGCAATAGCTGTACGTCAGGTGGCTAATTTTTCTGTTTCCTTTAAGTCATACTAAAAATAACAACACAAAAAAAAACTTTATACAGAAATCTGCCTTTTTTTTCTTGACTCACCGGAGCTAGAGCGGTGAAGACTGAACAACCTGATCTAATTATTAACCTTAATACCTTCTGAGGCTGCTGGGATGTTTTTTGGTTTTTTTTGACATGTTGCGTAACCCATGACACCAAGAACTGATGTAATTTTGAGAACAAAGGGTGCGCTCCTAATGAAGTACACTTACAGTCATCAGGAATCCCTCCTTCGACTTCCTGTCCAGGCTTCTGCTGCTGGTCGCCTAAAGAGGAGGAAGGAAATGAAAATTAGCATCAGCGACTTTGGAGAAACGGCTGATGTGTGATAGTGTGTTGCATTGATTTTATTGTTATTGTAATAATACAGTGGCGCTTTATGAGAGTTTCATGATGACACAAACTGTTCAACTTCATGTTCCAGTTACATATCGTATGATGCTGTAAATTTACATCTCTGTTGCCGTAACGCCAGCTTTGACAGGGGCTTTATCGTCAGCTCTGGAGGCTGCAGTTTTCCTACTGAACTGTGTTCCACGACCCACAGAGGCGTTTCTTCCGTGTAGCCTTCGTTGATTGAACAAGTCAGTACAGTTATAGCGGCGAGAAATCAGAGCCTCTAAAATGATCTGTCAAGCTGAATTTAGTCAGACTGTTTTTTTAGACTGCATTGGTTTTAAGCTGGGCTGCAAGGTGGCACAGTTGGTAGCACTGTTGCCTCGCAGCAAGAAGGTTACCGGTTCGCGTCCCGGTGGGGACACCCAGAATCTTTCTGCGTGGAGTTTGCATGTTCTCCCCGTGCAGCGTGGGTTCTCTCCGGGTTCTCCGGCTTCCTCCCACACAGTCCAAAAACATGTTGAGGTTAATTGGTGATTCTAAATTGTCTGTAGGTGTGAATGTGAGTGTGCTTGGTTGTCTGTCTCTAAGTGTAGCCCTGTGATAGACTGGTGACCTGTCCAGGGTGTCCCCTGCCTTCACCCTAAGTCGGCTGGGATAGACTCCAGCCCCCCCGCGACCCTAGTGAGGATTAAGCGGTGTATAGAAAATGGATGGATGGATGGTTTTAAGCTCGTTTGTCTGTCACAAGGCGAGAACCAAGATCTTGTGGTTTACAATCATAGCAAGTTTTCTCAGGGGGGAAAACCCTGATACCTGTAAAAGGAAATGCTAGAAATGCTAAGAAAAAAAACGTTATGTGAGTGTTGAATGAGAACTGTATGTAGCTTTAAATTTCTGAAAAACCTGCCGTTATGGCTCCGTTTCCAGCATCTTATGACCAGCCTGTGACCAAAACCAGAAAGATATTAATGTTGATTTAACCCCTCAAAACCCTCTCCGTCTGTCAAAGTTCTGTTTTTGAAAGAACAGCCGCTTAAATGTGAATGTTTATTAGTTGTAGTTTTTTTTTTTTTTTTTTTTTATGATAGTAGAAGGACTTCTTTCTTTTTCTTTTTCTAATGTTGCTCAGACAAAATGAAGTCCCTCTGCTGCTACTTTTAGCTGTTTTAACGATATTAGCTGTTGGATGGTTCAGAACTTCCTGCAGTTAAACGACTCCACATCAGACCTCATTCTCTTCAATCCTAAAAAATCCCCAGAAAACAGCCTTACCGCCAACAGTCTCATACCATTTTGCAACAAATGTTCAACCTCTTACCAAAAACCGATGTGTCCTTTTTGACTCAGACCGCAGCTCCGCCCCCCATAGGAATAAAATCATCCTGTCTTGTTTCCTCCAGCTAAGAGCAATCTGGAAAGGGTCTTCCATGCCTTCATCTTCTCCCGTCTCGATTACTGCAACTCCCTCTTGTGTGTCATCTTACAAAAATCCATCTCTCGCCTCCAACTTGTTCAGGATGCAGCAGCTCGGCTTCTTGCTGGTTTTAAGACATCACTTCTCCCCCTTACTGGCTTCTCTCCACTGGCTCCTTTTAGAATTGATTTCAAGATTTTATTCATCACTTTTAAAGCCAGCCAGGGCCTTGGCTATATTTTAGATATGTTAACCCCGTATATATCCCCACACGCAGCCTTAGATCCTCAGGTGGGTCCCTCCTCATCGTTCCAAAGGCGACCAGGCCTTTTCTGTGAAAAACCCTCGGCTTTGGAACGACCTGCCTGAGGAAGTAAGGCTCGCAGATTCAATATCTTCTTAAAGCCCACTTTTAAAGATTCACTTTCGAGTGATGCTCGTTTTTATGTCTCTTTTAGATTTTTGCCCGTTTCTTTGCCCTTTTTTTCTTTCTTAATCTACTTTTATCTTCAGCTTTTATCTTCATTCCCTTCTGTGATGTCGTCTTTTTTAATCAGTTTCACTAGTACACCTTTCAATAGTGACCCAGTCTGTTGTTTTCCACTTTTATGGTGTGTATTTTTATATTTGAGTGTTTGCCTGTAGTTATTATTATTATTATTATTATTATTTAGCTCCTAAAAGCCTATGTATTAAAGTTACACATTTGGAATTTTTTTTCCAAGAAACTTCTTTTCTCTCTCTCTCTCTCTTTCTCTTCTTTGGATCTTCTGCCTCTTTATACCCTCCCTTCCCCACTCACTGCAACCCGTGCACACAGCTCACCTGCGATTCTTGTAAAACGTCTGAAAGTGTGACTTAGTTTTTTGAGACTTGTCATTGGTGCACTTTGTTTTTAAAGGCAGAAATGCTCCACAAGGTTAAAATAATAATAATAATAATCATTTTCAGTGGAGGGTATCTTTAAATACACTGATGTCATACTTACACCCCTTAGTGACGGTCAATGTGACGCCGTCATGTTCTGGCTGGATGTCAGTGACGCCCTCTGAGCAGCTAATGTAGACGATGGATTGGACGTGGCACACAGTGCAGGTGGCGGCAGCCTCAGGAGTCGGTGGAGGGATTTTAGGGCACTCTTGGATTGTGTCATTGATGCCTCTCTGGTACAGATTATTGTCAGCAGTGCCATATATGGCATTAAGGTCTCGGCATTTCTCGTAGTCGTTGCAGGTAAAACAAGCAGCTGCAGCCCAAAACAGAGAAAAATATTAATGATTAACACAAGCTAAAGAGTTAGAATTTAAATTTCAGGATGAGTGCGTTTAAAGAGTTCTTGCTATGGTATTATTTGACTTTTGAAATTTAAAATGACTGCATCTTGGGTGTCTTACCAGATTTCTTGGCTGGAGCGTGAGTGACAGGAAATATATGGTGGGGGGGAGAAAAAAAATCAAGTTATTGAAAAAATACAGCATGGTATTAGTCAAAAACAATTAGCATAGTTTCTAGTAAAAAATATTCTCAGCTCCTATTCAAGACAACAAAACCTACAAAATCGAAACACTCAGTAACTTTAAACCACATACCAGGAAATCCCTCACAGACGACAACGTTCATGGACAAAACTACCACTAAGCGCTGGAACACTGGAAATACAGATGAGAAAAATGCAAATTAATTCTCTTCTCTTCAATAATTACTGTTATATAGTCATTTGCTCACTCAGTCGCCGCTTTCTTAGGTAGGTACACCTCTTCATAGGCAGACTTACAGACAAAGTAATGCTCATAAGGGTAATTTTTCATTTTGTTTTTGGACCTGGCCTTAGAAGTACTTCCTGGTTTTAATATTAAAGTCACACCGATGATGTACTGGACTGCACTATATTGACGGATGCTCCTAATGCTCTGCTCCCTCGTGTGCAAATGTGAAAAGCGAAAATTAAAAAACATCTTTCAGTAAAATGCAGCAGGCCCAGTACAACATACCTCAAAAATACATACACATACATACACACATGCAATAGAATTTGCACAATTCGGACAATGTTGGCAAAAACTAAACACTCTGAGCTTTGTGAAGGTGGAATTTATTGTCAGAGTTGTCATAGCTGATGTAAACACAGTGCATATTGCCCAGTATTAATTCAATAATAGTACACTGATGTGTTTATTATGCAATGAATGTGTAGTTACTAGTTTTAAAACTCTGATGTGCTTAATAGATGTTTCTGTTTGCAACAATAGCAAAATAATTAAAAATTTACTTACTTTTCCAGTTGTTCTCAGCGCCAGCTCTCTTCCTGTAACGGCTTCGTTTTCTTCCCCTTTTAGGAACCACTGCTGCACGCTTGGCTCGGTTTCTTCCTCCGGCATCCATCCCAGGGTCCATGATGCAGCTCGCTCCTCCCTCCGCCCCCGTAATGGCTGTTGTTCCGGGTAAAGCCTTCAGTGCTTCTTCGTCTTCCTTTCGATTGTCTCGCTGACCTTTCTGCGGAAACTGTGGTTGAAGTTTGTTTCCATCGACCACAGATAAACCGCTCGGTTTTACCAACTCTTGCACAACAGGCTCGGACTTGAGACCAAATTCAGACGGGGGTGGCGGCATTGTCTCGGACATTTCAGACATGTGCGCTTCTTCCTTAGGTATGGGTCTCACTGTTCTGCTTTCCTCTTCGACAGACAGAGAGCTGTCGGTGTACTTCTCACAAAACTTGTGCTTCATTTTGGAAGAGAGGCCTGCATCACTGTAATATGAACAAAGAATGCGTTCTTTAATAGACTTTGAAGGACTAAAGTGAGAATAAAAGTGAAATCAGTTAAAGCGGATTATTATATTTTACTAGATTAATGGGAACAAATACAGTTAACATCAAAATGACAAAAGACATCAGCTGACGTCAATATGACTCCAGTTGTCGCTTTGCATGACATTTACACCAAACTTATCTTTTCGGTTTAAAGTAATAATGGAAGAAAAAAAAAGAGAGAAACATACCCGCTCTCCTGTGTGTGTGCCTGCTCGCCACCTTTAAGTAGAAAACAACACAGTCATGCTGCTATTAATGCTTTCCATATACAGATTCTAATCTGTAGCTAAGACTCCATTACAGCAAAAAGCTATTCAAACTTATTGTGTATATATAATGACCTCATCGGCAATGAATCACAGCAATAAAAATTACATACAAGATATTTCCAAAATGATTGTTGTAGTATAAACAAAAGGAGCCTATTAATGCCTGAGGGGATTTTTGTACTACAACAACCTTTAATAGCAAAGTTATTACACATTTTATGACAGAAATATTCATAAAAATTACAATAAACCATGAATGGACGCCTCAAGCAGGAAGAGAGAAAAAAAATTAAAATTAAAATTAAAAGTTAAGATTCCATTACAGCAAAAAGCTATTCAAACTTATTGTGTATACGTAAAGACCTCATCAGCAATGAATCACAGCAATTACAGAAATATGCAGAAGTTAAATAAAAGTACGCAACCGAAACGCTGCTCGGCATTCTGAAAATTCAACTGCGACATCGGCAGCACGTGTTGCTTCATAGCGTCGTGCTAGATTGTTAAAATTTAAGCTGCAAAGACAAAGTTGTTGTTTTTTTGTTCTCCATTTCAAGTAATGAAACCTGTGATAAGATTAAACCTCATCAGACCAGATCAAAAGTCCTTCTGCAGCAGCATGAGAATGAATGAGCGCTGCCTCAACCAGGAAGAGAGAAAAAAAAAAAAAAGTTAAGATTCCATTACAACAAAAAGCTAAAGCCTCATCACACCAGATTAAAAGTCCGTCTGTAGCAGCATGAGAATGAATGAGCGCTGCCTCAACCAGGAAGAGAGAAAAAAAAAATAAAAAGTTAAGATTCAATAACAGCAAAAAGCTATTCAAACTTATTGTGTATCTATATATATATATAAAGACCTCATCGGCAATGAATCACAGCAATTACAGAAATATGCAGAAGTTAAATAAAAGTGCGCAACCGAAACGCTTTTGCCATTTCAAGTAATGAAACCTGTGATAAGATTAAACCTCATCAGACCAGATCAAAAGTCAGTCTACAGCAGCATGAGAATGAATGGGCGCCTCCTTAGCCAGGAAGACAGAAATAAATAAATAAATAAATAAATAAATAAAAAGAGATAAGATTCCATTACAGCAAAAAGCTATTCAAACTTATTGCAGGCCAGCTGACAGCCTTCCCTGGGCCCGGGACAAGATGATATTAGATGCCCCACTCACCCACATCTCCCCTTTTCTTTGCTCCTTCTCTCCTGTTGCCTCCTGTTAAGTTAGCTGGCCATAATGACTGAGCAGCAAGCTCCTCCCACTGCACTCTGACGCTCGCTATCTCTCTCTCTCTCTCTCATCCGTGGTCTGACTCTGTCCCTCCTGGTGGACCAGCGGCTCCACCGTCACTCCATCCCTCCCAGTCTCATCCAGTTAGGTAAAGTTAGAAAGATATTCGCGGTTCCCGTGTCAATAAGTAATTAACGGAACATTGCTTTCAGAAAAAAACAACACTTATATCTGAAGCCAGTCAAGCTACAGCTCCATTTTAAACATTACGAGCCGCCCTTCGTACGCGACGACTTCAGTTGACTACAGTGCGCTGTCGGTTCTGGCTCAGTCGAGCAGGGACCGTCTACAAAGTGCAATACTGAAGAGAGACGCTACAAAAAAATAAAATCAATCGTGTTGCCAAGGAATAGTGTGGCGTAAAATAAATCACCCCACACAACAATCCATCCAGGCAGGTTACACTACCATAATTATTTGGGGAAAATATGGTTTTATGTAATTTTTATGAATATTTCTGTCATAAAATGTGTAATAACTTTGCCATTGAAAGGTAGAAGAGTACCAAAATCCCCTCACACATAAATTAGCTCCTTTTGTTTATACTACAACAATTATATTGGGAAAATCTTGTTTCGTGTAAGTTATATGAACTTTATAGACATAAAATATGTAATAACTATGTTATTAAAGGTTGTAGTAGTACACAAATGCCCTCACACACAATGGGGCTCCTTTTGTTTATACTACAATGATTATTTTGAGAAAATATGGTTTCATGTCAAAAGGACATCAAATTTTGATCAGAGGTCAAACCATTTTATGTTAGAGGTGGGGGTGGAGGACAATTCCAAAGATATTAAGGACAGTTCAGACGAAAACAAATTAAAACGTCTAACTCAAATATTGCACAGTTTCTTCCCATTAATAGCCCTTCTTTGGGGAAAAAAAAATCCATAATTCAATGAGGGTCCAGTTCTGCCCCCCCTACACACACACACACACACACTTCTTCCTTCTCCTCCTTTCCTTTTCTAACTCAAATATTGCACTGTTTCTTCCCATTAACAGCCCTTCTTTGGGAAAAAAAATCCATAATTCAATGAGGGTCCAGTTCTGCCCCCCCTACACACACACACACACACACACACACACACACACACACACACACTCTCTCTCTCTGGGCCCAGGCCCTATCGGCTTCCGTCTTAACCAGGAAGAGAGAAAATTACATTCCATTACAAAAAAACGCTATTCAAACTTATTGTGTATATATAAAGACCTCATCGGCAATGAATCACAGCAATTACAGAAACATGCAGAAGTTAAATAAAAGTGCGCAACCGAAACGCTGGAATCGGCATTCTGGAAATACGACTGCGACATCGACAGCACGTGTTGCTTCATAGCGTCGTGCCAGTTTGTTAAAGTTTAAGCTGCAAAGACAAACAAAGTTTTTTTTTGCCATTTCAAGTAATGAAACCTCAAACGCTGAGTAAGATTAAACCTCGTCAGACCGGACCAAAATCAGGCTGCAGCAGCATGAAAATGAATGGACGCCTCCTTAACCAGGAAGAGAGAAAAAATAAAAATAAAAAAAACCTCCTGCAATCTGCTTAAAACTATTAAATGATTGAATTTCAATGAGCAAACTCACTTTGTGGCTGAGGATGGGCAGAATCGTCCGTTGGGTTGGCCATCGTCCTTAGAACAAACAGTGGAACTTAAATAGTTGCTCTCTTCCCGAGAATCGCCGGGGAACTGAGAAAATGACTTCTGACTTCTTCTCTTAATCATATTATTTCCTGTTGACCTGTTTCACACTTCAGGTTTCGGTCTCCATCTAGTGGCCGTCTCTACCCTAAACATTGTTTCCTTCTGATGTCTTGTCACGGTTTCCTTCACCTGTATTTGTTAAATAAAAAGCTCAGACATGATTTTTCTTTATAATTTAATTTCTTTCTGAGGTGCTCTCTCTCCTCAGAGGTCAGTGCATCTGCAGTTACAGATTTTTTTTTTTATTTGTTTTGTGTCTTGCTTTATCACAAGCCTAATATCTTTAACACACAATGTAGAATTTGCACATTTATTTGTGCACATTTTGCTTTTAGTTTGAACTTTAGCCGTGTCCCTAATTGCCCTGAGGAAGACAATCACCTTTCTCCCTCTCTCACCGCACTGCCCTTGTTTTCTAGTTTTCGCTGTAACCACGGTTTCTGGTTTCGTCACAGATACAGTGCATACAAGGCGTGGCAGCAAAATAAAAAAAAGAAAGAAAGAAGACTGAAAGTTTTAGCAAAAGCAATTACATTTTTTTTTCTATAATATCTTTATTATGAGTTTTTTTTTTTTTGGTAATTTTACAACAGAACACATAAATGCAAACACCCATGCATTGCACCGTCGTAGCTCATTATATATATTTGTCAAGATTTTCTCAGCATAACAAAATAAGATAGAAAAAAATACATGAATAAAAATCAGTAAATAAAAAACGGTTAAACAAGTAAAAAAAAAAAAAAATGCAGAAATGAAAAATTTTAAAGTAGGTAAATCAATAATTACAATCATAACATCAAAATGGAACAGATAGAATACAAAGGCATTATTTTAAGCAGGTCTCACGTTCTCCTTTGTCAGCATGGCCATGTTCCCAGAGTTGGTTGAAGTCCTTCCGTTTACTCTTGTTGGTGTGTGATACTCGTTCCAGTCCGATGCAGCTCGGCAGTTCCTTTCTCCACATTCCCAACGTCGGTACCTTCCCAACAGAGCGTAATGGCTCTCCTGGCATGTGGAAGTCCATAGTCCAGCCTTTATGTCTTGGTTTGATGTGTATGGAAAGTCCTTTGGTTACACTCCAGGTATGCGCAGTGGATGGGGGACATTAACTTCAGATGTTTTAAGAAATCTTCCCAGAATTGTTTGATTTGTTTCCATAAACAATGACATAGAGTGCCTTTTTTCCTTTAAACATTTAGAACAAGTGTCTGGGATTTTAATCGTATGACGGAGCATGGCAGGAGGTATGTGCACTCTCATTAACCATTTATACTAAAACCTTGTTTTTATTGCTTGTTTCTGTTTAAACGAGCTTCATTCCAGTCCTCCTCATCTATATCCTCCTGCATGTCCATTTTCCAGGTGTTTAGCTTGTCTATACTTATTTCAGTCCTGTGTGCAACTAATTAATTCTAATATTTAGAAACATAGCCCTTCCCTCTTATGTCCAAAAGTGTTTTTTCCTCCAGTTCTGATATTGGTGGTGGACGCATTAGCTGCTTATTCCTTGATAGGTGTGACTTTTTAACTGCAAATATTTGGGGAAAAAAATGGGGGCTTTTTTTTGGAAGTTGATGTCTCTGACATAAGGAGTGAAAAGAAAGTAGAACCCAATCTTGTTCCATAATCTGAATCCTCCATCGTTACCCGGAGTAAGGGAGTGCGCCGAGAGATTATTGTCATGTGGTTTAAATGTTTACATGCAGAGGGCCGGACCAAGATAGTATTCCTAGGAAGGGGGTTTTTCCATGTGTTTCCTTAACGCCCTAATGTCTGAAGAGTACAAATACAGATTAGGTGGTAACACTGAGGTGGATTCTTGTTCAGTGCTTACCCAGGCTGGAGGTTTTGTTGTACAGAAATAGTTTGACGCTGAGGCTAGTTGAGCAGCCATATAGTACCACCTGAGGTTAGGAAGTCGGAGCCCTCCCCTCTCAAAAGGCAAGTTTAAGACAGAGTCTGGCTTTCCAAATCCATCCATCCATTATCTATACACCGCTCAATCCTTCAATAGGGTCGCGGGGGGGATGGAGTCTATCCCAGCTGACTCGGGGTGAAGGCAGGAAGCACACTCACATTCACACCTACGGACAATTTAGAATCACCAGTTAACCTCAACATGTTTTTGGACCTTGTGGGAAGAAGCCGGAGAATCCAGAGAGAACCCACACTGCACGGGGAGAACATGCAAACTCCTCGCAGAAAGATCCCGGGTGTCCTCACCGGGACACGAACCAGCGACCTTCTTGCTGTGAGGCAACGGCGCTAATTTCCAAATTAATCTGCAAAATAATTTGCTGAGCTTATCATAGAATCTTGTTGGCAGTGGCAAAGGAGGTGTTTGAAAGTAAGTATTGTGGTAAAACTGTCACTTTTATTAAATGTTTTCGTCCAATCATTGATATGGGCAATGCAGACCATTGGTCCAGTATTTCAGCTGTTCTTTCTGTCAGGAGGTCGTAGTTTGTTGCGATAATTGGATTAAATAGTTAAATAAGAGGACTGCAAGGTGGATCGGTGGTTAGCACCATCGCCTCGCAGCTAGAAGATCCCCGGATTCCCCCGGTATGACGCCTGGGATCTTTCTGCATTTAAATAAAGATGTACCAACACTCAACAATACGCCTCCAACACGTCTAACGTTGTATGTAATGTCTTAACTGTTCAAGTTTTTAGTATAAGTCATGAAGCTCTGCAGAAAATTTTTCATCTCTAATGTTGAAAGAACATAAAAATATTTGGAAATATCCAAAAATAACATTTTTCTTTCAACCAAAAATATAAAATTCATGCAGATCTCAAGACCAAAGTGTTTTTCCTTAAAGTCCCATAAAGGACATGATCTTAATGATGTGGCTTACCTTGATTTGTGATTTTCTGCTGCTGCCGTGGATACAATGACCTGAACGGGCTCTCAACATCCCCTTATATTACAAGCCACACCCCGGGGTGAAGGAAAACGAAAGCATTTTTGTCACCACCTTTGAGCAACATATGCATCAACATCAGCTGCAGCCAAATGACCTGCAGTAAGACATAAGCACAATAGACAAAAGCACATTTGCATAGTGAGCTTGGACGTACAGCTTATAGTTATTAGACCACCTGTTGTGTTCTTCACCAGCTTTTAACATTGATAATTTTGTTTAAAAATTCATCTTAATGGTTAAACAATTGCAGCATTTTCTAAAAGACATGAACAAAGTAATAATAATTTGATGCATGCAATAAACTGTTTCAAAATATGCCGTGTAGAAACTAAAAATAAAAAAAAATCATTCTAAGATGCCCAGAAACGGGCTGCAAGGTGACGCAGTGGCACTGTTGCCTCGCAGCAAGAAGGTCGCCGGATCACGTCCCGGTGAGGACTCCTTTCTGCGTGGAGTCTCCCCGTGCAGCGTGGGTTCTCTCTGGGTTCTCCAGCTTCCTCCCACAGTCCAAAAACATGTTGAGGTTAATTGGCGATTCTAAATTGTCCGTAGGTGTGAATGCGCTTGATTGTCTGTGAGAACTAAGCGCTGTATAGACAATGGATGGATGAATAGTTAAATCAGGATAGCCTCAGTCTACAAATATCTTGCATAATGTCCACCAGTGGTTTTTCGTACGTTCCTGTCTGGCTACTAAAATGTCCAGAGTCTCTAAAAACCATATTGTGAACATCCAGTTGCCCCCAGTGGAAGCCACAACCCTGAGCAGGACAGTAAGGAAGTGAAATTAAGTGAAATGGAATTCCACTGTAACAGCACAGCGCTGACGTTTAATACGAGGACATGGCAGAAGTTTTACCACATTTTAGGGAAGCTTGTGTCTCGAGTTGTTCATACAGTTACAACACAAGTAGTTTTGCAATCAAAGCAATGATTTACAGGCTTTTGTACAAGATGGAACTGGGAATTGTGGCACCGTGTTTTTAATGGTTGCTAATGACAGACTGTATAAAGTTCAAGCAACTGTTTAAAACGTCTGATAGAAGCAAAACACGTCACCCATTTGTTAAATGTACGTAGATGGGTGACGAATTAAAGACAAATCTGGGCAGATTAGGGGTCAAAAGGTCAAAACCATAGCCTGTCTTTTAATGTTTTTATGATGACGTTCCTTGAGCATCTGTTGACACGTCGTGCAGTCAGATGCATGTTCGTCTGTGCTGCTCGGTGCATATTCCTGGAAACGCTACATTAAGATGAGCAAGCAGTTTGACAGCAGAAGTTCTGTTTTTGAGGAAACTTTCTCACAAGTTTCCCTTCATGCTGACGTTGATTAAACTTTGAACTGTCTTCTCTAACTGCATGTTGACGTGTCAAAGCACGTCAAGAGCCAATCCTTGTCCCAAAGTTACGGATCCAACTTGCCGACTTCCCTTACCTGCCTTGTTCTAACGTGCCAGAGGCTGTTCACCTTGGAGACCTGCTGCCTCCTTCTATATTTGCTAATTCAATCACCTTTTTTCTCTAATCTTGCCATGCAACACCCAAAATGCATGCATAATTACCTGATGAACAAAAAAAAATTACCAAAGTTTGTACCATTTCTCCCATGGGGGCGCATGAATGTATGAACCAATAAAGCTAAAATGTGGTAATAGTTGTTGAGACAGTTAACCACAAATGCCAACAACTTGGCAGCGCTGGTGAAATAGTTTGTGGTTCACCAAACTGGGCAGAATTCCACCTTTGGGGACTGTCAGAGCATCTTGGCACATCTTCCACATCCTGGCAGTGGCTGAATCTCATTGGCTCTGTAGGACATTTGTTCGCTTTCTGACCTCCAGTCAGGCTGCTCAGGTACGGCCGCTCCGCTCAGCATCATGGATCAGATGCAGGAAGGCGTGGAAAAGGTATAAAGACAGACAAGCAGTCGGCTCGTGTTCAGACCTGACGCTGCCGCCTTTCCTCGAGAAGCGTAAAGGTAGGGGAACTGTTGTGTGGATTAACGTAGGACAGCACAGATTTAGTCACTCGTGTGTGAGTAGTGTTGAAATAAAATGTGTAGATTTTAGCTCTTGAAGAGGTTGTAATTAGTGCCTTTATTTAACATAACGTGTTTCCTCATTAGCCTTTCTGGTATTCACTGCTGTCTTGCAAAACCTTCAGTCTGTCCTTTGTTTGTGAAAATTATTTCTCAAGGTGACTGTGACTATTCGTTCTCATGCTATTAGACAATAGTTAAAACAAGACAGTACTTTTTTTTATACGATCCCACATTACAAGCAGCCTGCTTCTTGCAGCAGTCAACCCAAAGAGGAACTATTGTGGACTTTCTGGTTTGTCAGCTCGTCACTGTCACTGTTTTGTGGGTCTTCTTTCACTCCACATGCAGCTCAAAGTCTGTGTGAAATGGGCCACAGAAGGCTTTTATGTTAAAATTCTTAAAATGATAAGCCTGGCTGCAGAACCCTTATTTACACAAAGTTATGGCTCATTTATACAGTTATCTTGTCCTGACAGCTTTTTTGTTGTTGTTGTAGGTTATTACAGGTTTCACCACATCTCTTTAACCTGTTTTGTTCAGGTATTCAAGTAATGATTCTGTGGAACAACAACATTAAGTGAAACGAAAGAGCATTTCAGTCAGGTTTTCAGGCTGAGACACACCGTTCCCGGGAATTGGGGCGCTGAAACTTCAGTCTTACTCAATAGCAGCGGCACACCCTCCCGAAGAATGTTTTTTTTTTTTTTCCACTCATTTGGACACATTTGATGTGGCAGAGCCTCATAAGAAACTCAACCTTTGCTGAAAGATAGACCTGCCCGTAGAACATGGTGTTGAATCATGTGGTGATTCAGCACAGCACCTCTGTGGTTATCTAACAGTTTGGTTTGGTTTGTTGTTTCAGGTTTATTTGTGTTTCCTCATTCAGGCGGAGGAAACATTAAGATTTAAAAAACAGTACAAATTCTTCACTGCATGTAAATGTCCTGCATTCATATTGCTTTTACTGAATTCATTTAGGAATAATTGTTGTTCTTGTTGCAGCAAAGTGATGCTTTAATGTTTTCGTGGCGCTTTAATGCTGTAGCTGGTAGACGTAAAGCCTTATATACTGATGGGTCCTTCATGTACAGTATATTATCTACACATATATTTTATATTCATAACTTTATTTATGAAGAAATTCTGAGATCGATTTAAGTGGATTTTATACCCTCGTGAACAACCTGGTAGCTCTTTGCTATAATACTGTGATACAGGAGCGATTCACAAACAGGAAAGTACCCAAAATTAAAGCAGCCTATACCAGGAACCAAAGCCTGTCAAACAGAGACGGTGGTACCAAGAAAGCTAGACGCAGAGAGCGCCGGGAATTAGTATCAAACCACAAACATCAACACGAGGTTGTTTCAAAACTTCTATGAACCCAAACCTAGTGAGTCATGTTTCACCAACTTTGCAATGTTTGAAACCTTTACATTTGGACTTTTCTTCAGTGGCATGTGACATCAAGTGGAAATAAGAGAGGTCGAAACCTCTGATGATTAACTACATACAGTACAGCCATAGAGTGTATTTAAAGTCTGTGTGTGGTACTCACAGCTTTTACGGTTTGTAAATCACACAGACATTTTCCTCAATTGTTTATATATATATATATATATAGATGGCTGACAAATTAAAGGAAAAATAAAAATAAATGAATAATCTGGTAGAAAAAAACAACAACCTTTTTGCTCGGCGATTATTACGACCAGACACAATCTCAGGAGTCAAAGTCAAAGCCAGAGCCTTTCTTTAAAGTCGCTGTAGTCATTTTTTAAAATTTTATTTATATATTATCCTTTACTCGCTGCTGTGCTAGTCACATACATAGTTGGATGTGCTGCCAATGTATATTTAGGCCATAGAAAGGCTACATTACGATATTGTTGTACATCAGACCTGCTCTGCTTGAAGAAACCTGTTCACGAAGAAGCATTGCCGTCCTCACCAAACCGATGTTTGAAGTCCGTCGCTGTGATTAAATTCTTTAGTCTTGGCTTCAACTTGATTTTTAAATGACCTGACCGTCACTGTCCCGCCGCCTCTCTCAGATGGCGTACTCCACCGGCACGCTCGCACAGGGCGCCTTTGGGAAGGTGTACAAGGAGAAATACAACGACACCTGGGCTGCTATTAAGAAAGTCCCCCAACACCTCATCAACAGGAAGGACCTGGAGAGAGAATGCGACGTGTACAAGTAAGTAGCTTTGATAATATTTGCTGAGTAGGGGATTAACAAGGAAGTGTTCAAATAGATTTCCTAAGATGCTACAAGGTGAAACACGTAAGTTCCCAGTATTTGTAGAAGAAAAAAAAATACACCTGGGTAACTACCTGGCCTTCTTAGTTGGTGAACTGAAACAACAAAATGGAACATTTCAGACGCATGCAGTAAGGTCACAACAGACTCAGAAAACAAAAACAAGACACGTAGAACTGGTCTAGCAATGTGAGGAGACAATTTGCTCACCGAGGCATGGATAAAATTCCTGTCAGCACTTGTACGAGGAGATGTATCTGCAAGTATGAGGAAAGACAACAGCTGATGGTAGAATTATGAGGGAGCATTTACAGTAGCGTCAACAGGTACGAAAACCGGGGCAGTGAGGTTTATTTATATTGCACTGAAGTTAGTTTTGGTGTCATTTATTTTACATTTATGGGCAACACTTCGTCCAGTTAGCACCGCTGCCTCACAGCTAGAAGATCCCGGTTAGGACACCCGGGATCTAAATTGTCTAAATTGTCCGTAGGTGTGAATGTGAGTGTGCTTGGTTGTCTGTCTCTAAGTGTAGCCCTGTGATGGACTGGTGACCTGTCCAGGGTGTCCCCTGCCTTCACCCTGAGTCGGCTGGGATAGACTTCAGCTCCCCACGAACCTAGTGAGGATTAAGCGGTCCATAGATAATGGATGGATGGAACTTTGTCGGTCTATGGCTATGATAATTTAGTGCTAAAAGATATACCGCTATAATGTGGACTCACATTCTTCCGTAAGCTGGTAAATAAAAACATCAAGAATTGTACAGCTGTAATAACAGAAAATACATCTTCACAGGAATTTTTCACCTGCTGATAACAATACTGTACAACACTAAGACACCTTCTTCTCTGGTGAAAGTCAGGTTTGTCAGTATGGCGTTTTTTTTTCCACTCTAAAACTGCAGTGTACCAGTGACAGTCTCTGGGGTTTCACATGTAAGAAGTCTAAGGAACTATTCCTGTCAAATTTTATGGGACCTTCTATATCATTATTCCTCTACAGAACTGGTTTTACTCTGATTATACAACTTGCCTTTGCATAGAGTAGTTTTTGAGTCACTTGGGGAGTCAATGGTGTCAAGTTACACGTAAACCATTTCAGGCCGAAACAGACGATGTTCATGGAAAAAACTAATAAATGTGTCACTTTGATACACAGAGATAAGTGTTTAGGGGCTAAATTTGCGGCCATGTCTTATAAACCATTTAATAAATGTTAAGAAACTGCTCAGGAGGCTGTTTCATTATTATTGGTGCCTCCGATGTACAAAATGCTAACACCGGCATTTGCGGAGTGTAAAGTGTTGCCAAATGTATGCGTCTCAATCTGAACAGATGTCAGCATGGTGTATCCGTGCATCTGTGACCACATTAATTAAAAAAAAGTTGGTAGTTCAGCCACAAATGGTGCATTAAGGCAGAACGTCTTTGCATAAAGTTAGAGGATCTAAATGGGTTTAAAGCTTTTCGTCAAAGAAAACAGTGACTTGACCTGATTTGTTGGTTTCTCCTTCTTTTCGTGACTTGTCGCCGCCGATCTGCAGCAAGTCAGATCATCCCAACATAGTGAAGCTTCTGGGCAACATCACTCTGAAAGGCGGGAAATGGATCATTCCACTAGAGTTTATCTTTGGAGAGGACTTGGAGACAACCATCTTCAAGGCGTCAAAGTCCAAAATACAGGTAAGGTTACTATAAAAGTGGACAGAAGTAAAATGAAGAATGTTCACACCTCGAATACAGAAACTAGGGAAACTTGAATTGGTTATTTAACTGTGTCAAGGCAGGAACTCTGATTATAAGCCCATTTTGGCTGTTATTGCAATTTTTTTTTTTGCAATGTTTGCACAAAACAAGGCAGCTCGTTGATATTTGCGACACATTCTTGTCACTTTTTTTTCTAGAGGTCAAACTGTTTTCATGCTTAAGTTTAATAACTGAAAATCAAATCTGAATAAGATTCTATAGTTTAACGTGACAGAAAGCTAAGCCGGTAGTCTGCAACAGCCAGTTCTTAAATGTGTTGTGTTTGGCCTTTTAAATTAAGACCTGAATGAGACGTCTGCGCAACTCAGTAAAATACTTGTTTCACTCCAGCTTGGCAAAGTCTGTACTAAAATTTTCATCACGACAGTTGACTCCATCTAATCGAGGCAAAATCATCGTGGGCATGTGTGAAGGGTTGCTTCACCTCCACTCCAAGGACATTGTGCATCAAGACCTCAAGCCTGAAAACATCATGGTGAGTCAGATTCTCGGTGTAATTGGCGGCAACCACAGTTTTTTCTTGGGAGTGTGCCAGTTAAACTTTCAAGTGGTCACATTGGTACAAGTGCATGATGATGACTAAGCTGTGTTAGTGTCGCTGTAACCGGCACAGGAAGCTGCTCTGTTAACCACAGGAGTAGTAGCTGGATGTAGGACTTGTAGAACTTTGGTGTACTGCGCTATTTAGGCTAAAAAATGCAGTCTTGTTGAGCTGGCGTCCCATGCATAAGGGCTACAGTCCCCGATGCAGCGGTCATGGGTTCGAGTCCCGCTCATGACCCTTTGCTGCAGGTCCTTCCTCCATTCTTCTACCCCCACTTTCCTGTCTCGCTCTCTCTGTCCTATCAAAAAAGGCCAAAAAACATCTTTAAAAAAAAAAAAGCAGCCTTCTTGTGAAAAGCAGAGCACACCTGGATGTTTCCGCTTACAGAAAAGGGTTGATGTAAATGAAATTAATCGGTTTCATCTTGGACAAATCATTAGAAGGCCCGAGTTAACTCTTTTTAAAGTCACACACCACATAAAAATAATAACATCTGACTGAAGGATTTGGGTCCAGGTATGCCCAGTAGTTATAGCCGTCCCCTTATAAACTTCTTCTTCGCTGTGTCCCAGTGGTCATTGCTGTGTAGCGTGTGTTTTGTTCATTTCCATCTATTTTCCTGGAGGAAAATGTTGGTATGTCCTTCGACCATTTTGTGTAAGATTAAATATCTTAACAACTATTACATGGATTCAGTTGGGAACAAACATTCCTGATTCTCAGATAACTGTGGTGGTCCCCTGACTGTGCCTTGAGGGCCTCCGTGAGATCGACATTTCCAGTTTTCACTAAAACATCTCAATAACTATTAAATGATAGCTATTAAATTTTCAACACACTAACTGTATTTCCATTCAGGATTATTGGAGTTCAGATGTTTAGTTTGTTAGATTTTTAGCTAATGAACAAGTAGCTGTAAAATGAAGGAAATCCACCCGAGCGTCAGTTGTATTTTGTGTCCAGTGAGCTTTGGCAAAGGTCAACAAACACAGCAACACAAAACTTAGTTAACCGGATATTGTCAGTTAAAGCAGTATGAATTGTCTACTTAAAAAAAGAGAAAAGAATACACGCTAAACAGTGTTTGTCTATCAGGTGGAACACGACACAAACAGAGCGGTAATCATCGACCTGGGTTTGGCCAAGTTCTTCAGACGAGGTCTAAACTCTGCCATGGACATGGGCAACGAGGCCTACTCAGCCCCTGAGGTGCTGCAGAGGGGCAGCCAGCGGGATCAGCGTTCAGACGTCTGGGCCATGGGCAAGATCATTGCTGAGCTCTGCGCCCGGATTCGGCTGTACACACCCAGCGTCTGTCCTGCCAAGATCAAGGAGACTCTGAAGGATCAGCCCTACTGCCAAGCTGTGTGTAGGATGGTGGAGCCAGACCCTTCTCTGAGGTCCTCCATCGTTGGGGTCATAGGTGACATACGAAGGGCCGGAGGCACCAATACATCCATTCAAACAGAACACCTGAAGCTACCTTCACAACAGATTCATGCCAGAAACCGGTCTCCATCTCCAATGAACAGAGGGGCGTCTCCACGTATCCCTGATCCAACACCGTTAAACAGGGCGCCATCACCGTTTAACAGAGATCCAGCTCCTGTAAACAGGGCGCCATCACCATTTAACAGAGATCCAGCTCCTGTGAACAGGACGCCATCACCATTTAACAGAGATCCAGCCCCTGTGAACAGGTCACCTCTCAATTGGGAACGTTCACCCAGACCTCAACCTGCACTGCACCGCAATCCTTCCCCTCTGAAGGCAGAGGACAAGAACAAAAGCCAGGCTCTGGTCCCAGCAGGCGGAGCAGAAATCACAAAAGACTTTCTGAAGATGACTCTATACCAAGAAGCTGCCAAGGATCTTGGCTGCAACCTTCCAACAACGGGGAGGGTGGTGGTCCGGCGCTTCGAGGAGAAGAACGGGGGCCTGGAAGCATGGGAGCAGAAAGAGGTGGTGACTCGTGATGGGAAAATAGTCAAATACGATGACATCAAGTTTAACAGCAATTAGGAGAAGCTGTCAGAAAACAGTTGCATGTTGTGGTTGACTGGTTAGTTCAGAGTAAACTGACTTTGGGTTTCTTCTTAGGAGAGCTTTGAAAAGCATTTCCACTCTGCTAAAGAGTAAACTGGGATTAAAGTAAAGTAGGTGCTTGTGTTTTGCACATGTAAAAACTGAGTTTAAAAAAAAAAAAGTGACAAAGTTTAACTTAAAGATAACATGAAAAGACTTTTGTTGGGATGTAACATGATAGGCAGCCATGTTAGGCTTGTGATAGGAATTTGAGCTGCTTGTTTACTTGCCAAGACGACGGCATGGCGGGCGTGAACAGCCATCTGTGAATGTTTTTCAGCATCTGAATGTACAAGACTGTAAACATGCTTCACACATTTTGTGTACATTTATAAAAACATTCTTAAATACATGTTGCAACTGCAGAGCTGTTTTTGTGTCTTTGGGATGTGTTATGTTAACGTTTGTACCTAATTATGAGGAAAACCTGAGCATGTGATCAAAAACCAGTAGACAGTATTTACTAGTTTATTTAGCTCCAGTGTTGAGGTCTGCCACGGTTGGACTCACAAGTCACATGCTGCTATTGTGGGCTTGGATAATCTCTGGCTGATGAACACATTTAGAAACACTTCATGTGGTCCATATGTGGTATTTAAAATTCCCTGGTTTAAGTTATTGGTTCACACACTAAATGCTGTCTTCTTTTTTTTTCTCCAAAATGCCCACAATTTAATTCTGTCTCCCTAAACGTGGCGTATAACAGTGAGAAAGCACAATTTGATTCACTATACTTTACAGTTTTTTTGTTGATGGTGCTTATTTTGTCAAAACCTTTAATGTACTTTTAAGCACATTGTGCCGTTGCAACCGAATTGAGACGACACATGCACAAACCAAGTCTGGATCACCCTGAGAATTATCATGGTTTATCATTTATTATTTATTTTTGTGATTTACAGGTAAGTCATTCTTCCTGTGCAGGGTTTTGGTAATCTAAAAAAATTCCAGAATCTCAGTTACTTTCTGCTTTTGAGTAGTTCGCATTAGTTTTTTTTTTACAAACAGCAGCTTGTACAAAGGTGTCCAGAGACGTAAGGTAGACATAGTGCCGGGGATTTTAGGGGAGTGGAGACGCATCAGCTCATGGGGAGGAAACGGACTGAAACACTGATGACCTCTGGTGGGTGAAACAGAGAAAAACAGTTCAGAGTAAAACTATTAATTCTACTGGTTATACTTTATATTAACCCATGAATATTTAATTCATTTTTATTTATGTAAAACATGAGAAAACAGAGGATTTGCACCAGTGTTGTCAACGAGAGGCGGTGATATTAAATATACAACAATGGGAGGCAAGTAAATGAAGCAAATCTTTACATTTGAGACGCCAGAACCAAACGTCTTCACCACCTACATGAATAAAAACCAAAACTAACCATTAACGTTTGTACTCTTGCTACAGAATTCCTTCTTTGTTTCCCCTAGAATCTCTCCGGCTGATCGGAGCTCACAGAAGAAAGGTTTGTTGTTGTTTTCTACAGACCATTTGCAAAACCAGAAGAACTTGTTTCACATTACCCCGTTTGTGACCCCGCCGCCGCTATCGAGTAATCTGCAACATCAGCACTGCTGACTACAGTGAGCTCCACCCACTTTTCCATTAGAAACGTTTTGGTTGTGAAGCCAGTCTCACTCTGTGGAACCAGGACGCCACCCTGATAACCAGCCCACATTTCTTGAGATCAGTGGTTCTTAAACTGGGGGGTCGGGATCCCCATGGGGGTCCCAAGATAATTTCAGGGGTCGCCAGGTCATTATAAAAAACTAATAAAACAGTAAAGCCTACATTTATTTAAATAAATGTGTATTAGGGCTGTCAGAATTAAAAGAATATACTTCTTCCTGCTCCTTTTTCTAACTTGTTAATATTATGATTTGATTATGCGATATTATTATTATCCTTTTTTACTCTTTCTTTAAATTATTTTCTTTTGTTTTTATATTTTTTTTCCCCTTTCATGTGTCTGAAATAAATTCAATTCATTCATACATTCAAAAGAAAATTAACGTGTTATTGTAAAGAGATTAATCTGTGGAATTAACACGTTCATTTTTATCACATTAATACATGAACAACAGGATTATTACTCATGCCATAATAAAAATTCAAACTGGGGGGTCACAAACAAACTAATGTTGTGTTGGGGGTCGTGGCTCAAAAAGTTTGAGAACCACTGATCTGGATCATGCAGCAGAGCTGTTGCAATACCATAAAAAATGTATTTTTATTGAGCTTTTAGCATCTTAACGCTAATATCTGCTTCAGTCAGTCCAAAGAAGTTACACAAGATACTGACACAGAGTATATGCAAGATGAATAGTACCTATGAGGTTTTTATTTGCAGGCTTTTTCCATCATTACTATTATTTTTATGAACAACTTATTGTCCCGTTCCATCACTGATGTGTCCTATAAGCCGTTTACATGTTGTTTCCTTCTCCAAATCAGTGCCACTGTAAGTTCAAAGGCACCAGCTCTCCAATGTCAGAAGTGATTTAAGGCCCCAGAACTTCCTACTTCAGGATACGCTCCACTTGTGTCGTCAGCAGCTACATCTGGTGTACAGTTGTTCGCAGTTCATCTTTCAGTCTATCGAAGCCGCAGATTGGGAGGAAGTGGGAGGTTTTGGTTTCCTCTTCAGCGTTTCACTGTTTGGGCTGGTTAAAGGTGCATAACTGGCAATTCTTTGTAACAGCATGCGAGTTAAGATGGAGGAATGATTCAAATGTTTGGAAATGAAGGCCCCGAAGAATATAAATATGTGACTAATGATTGTTCTTTAATACAAGGCAGGAAAGGATTTGTCTTTGGGATTTAAATGCAGCAGTGATTTTGAGTAGCAAGAAGCAAAAAGGTGAAAAAAAACAAACAAAACTCGTTCTCTTTCTCAAACATAGATTAGTGTCCATGCTGCCCATGTCATGCCTTAATTCAGGGGTGTCCAATCCTGGTCCTTGAGAGCCCCTATCCAGCATGTTTTAGATGTTTCCTTCTTCCAACACCCCTGATTCAAATGATCAGGATCGTTATCAGGCTTCTGCAGAGCTTGATGATGAGCTGATCATTTGAATTAGGTGTGTTGGAAGAAGGAAACATCTAAAACATGCTGGATAGGGGCTCTTGAGGACCAGGATTGGGCACCTCTGCCTTAATTAATGACCTTAGGTAACCATAAATATAAATATCTGACTATTGAATTTGCATTGTTCTTGTTATAATGTAGCTCAAGCTGTGCTGTTGGACAATTCATTTTCAAGTGCTGTTGCAAAACTCTCTCTCATATAGCGACAAATAATTCAGAGAACCCATCCAGTGGACAAGTCAGGCCCTCACGATAAAGCCTTTGTAAAAAAACAAACAAACAAAAGGAGTTAACTGCATACATGTGTGTTGAAAACAAGAGCCTACAGCCCTTCTGGTGGCTCTCTCTTTGAGTTACAGCTTTGGAAATAAAGGTTAGACCACTGTGACCACCATTTTCTGCCACTTCCTTTGCAGTTCTTGGTAGAGCCATGCTGCGTTTGTAATGGATGGTTGATTCCAAGCTGATTAGCAACGGCTCTCTCCCTGCATCCCTCTTTATTAAACCCCAGGATTCATGTCTTCTCATCATCTTGCAATTCTCTTGTTTTTAGCACTGTGGAGTAATAATTCATTATCCGCTGACTTTACAGCTTGTGCACAAAGCAACAGTCACTCAAAAATAGTTTCTGGGCATCCATCCATCCATCCATCCATTATCTATACACCACTTAATCCTCACTAGGGTCACGGGGGGGCTGGAGTCTATCCCAGCTGACTCAGGGTGAAGGCAGGGGACACCTGGACAGGTAACCAGTCTATCACAGGGCTACACTTAGAGACAGACAACCAAGCACACTCACATTCACACCTACGGACAATTTAGAATCACCAATTAACCTCAACATGTTTTTGGACTGTAGGAGGAAGCCGGGGAACCTGAAGAGAACCCACGCTGCACAAGGAGACTCCATGGGTGTGGAGTCCTCACCGGGACGTGAACCGACGACCTTCTTGCTGCGAGGCAACAGTGCTAACCAACTGCGTCAACTTGCAGCCTGTTTCTGGGTATATTAGAATGAATTTTTTAAAATTTTTAGTTTCTACACGTCATATTTTGAAAGAGTTTATTGTATGCATCAAACTATCATTTGACTTTGTTCATGTCTTTTAGAAAATGCTGTAATTGTTTAGCCACTGAGATGATTTTTTTTTTAAATTATCAATGTTGAAAGCTGGTGAAGAACACAACAGGTGGTCTAATAACTATAAGCTGTACGTCCAAGCTCACTATGCAAATGTGCTTTTGTCCATCGTGCTTATGTCTTACTGCAGATCATTTGGCTGCAGCTGATGGTGATGCATATGTTGCTCAAAGGTGGTGACAAAAATACTTTCGTTTTCCTTCACCCCGGGGTGTGGCTTGTATTATAAGGGGATGTTGAGAGCCCGTTCAGGTCATTGTATCCACGGCAGCAGCAGAAAATCACAAATCAAGGTAAGCCACATCATTAAGATCATGTCCTTTATGGGACTTTAAGGAAAAACACTTTGGTCTTGAGATCTGTTTGAATTTTATATTTTTGGTTGAAAGAAAAATTGTATTTTTTGGATATTTCCTAATATTTTTATGTTCTTTCAACATTAGAGATGAAAAATTTTCAGCAAAGTTTCATGACTTGAAAACTTGAACAGTTAAGACATTAGATAAAGCATTAGACGTGTTGGAGGCGTATTGTTGAGTGTTGGTACATCTTTATTTAAATTTAAATAAACCAACTTTTAACTGTAAATTTAACTGTATATATTTTCCAATCGTTTTGAGGGAGAAAAACGTAAAAAGCCAGACTAGATTTTTTTATTTTAATGTATAATATGTTAGTGTGTTTCACAGCACGAACCACCAGAACAGCATTCTTCTCTGCATGACTGATGGGAAATGACAATGAAATGACGACCCATTTCTCGTCAGTGGCGTTCCACACATATTAATGACGTGGTCTCTACTTTCTAAGATGGCTGGTTATTGCAGAGGTGGAACTGCCAAAGTGTACCCAGTGTCGCACCACGGACAGTGGGCTGCGCTGAAGAAGGTTCCTGGAAACCTGAGGACCCATCATGACATTACAAGAGAGTATCAGATTTATAAGTGAGTAATAACAGAAAAGAGGCCTCGATAGACAACGCAGAGGGCACACATCTGCACCGTACAATCCATGTTTTAGCATACTGAAATCTTTGTTTTGTTACCCGTGGCTGGTGCTCACAGGGCAGCAGAACATACCAACGTCGTCAAGCTCTTGGAGAGTCCAACGATGCATGGCAACATGTGGCACATC